TGATTGTAAGATGCGAAACAAAAGTGAGATCCGAAATTGCATGTAAATTGCGTGGCTCTCTCACCTTATGCTCCTCACCTTCAGCAATGAGGATGCCATTGCCCAGCACACGCCTCAATGTTTGCTGTATCACCAAGGGCTTTGCGAACTCGTAACCCTTGCTCACCAAAAGTTCGCTTAGGACAGCAGGGCTGGTTATCGTGAGCCTTTCCATGTTTCCCACAATGTAGTAACGAAGAATTCCATCGTTGGGAATGGTCTTGGCCCACTCCTTCATCAGCGCATGGGGGGTGTCGACGAGCAGACTACCCGTATTGCCCGTGAGCCAGTGCCGATTCTAGATGCTGTTAAGTCGGAGTTAACTCTGACAACAGAGGATGTGATGACTTACCGATGGAGTGGGAAAGTGTTTGAATGGCGTGAAAAACTCAGGGTAGATAAATAGCTGATAAACCAGCTTTGATATGGTGATTCCCGTAAGTAGAACGACAATGGTTGCGATTCGGGAGCCGAAGATGGCGTATTCTGGCCTGACGTAGATGCCAACGGCTATGCCGAGGTAAAGCACACCGAAGTAATCGTTGATACGCCCCATAATAACCGTTGGGTCTCGAAGTAACGGTGTGACAGAAGAACTGCGGCTTCGTTTTCTCACAGAGGCTACCCTTACTTCAATTATCTAGCGGGGTCAACTGGCTGACCGCCGGCTTTGGTTTACGCTTGACCCTTGCTGCCGCACCCTACACGCAGCGTTACCTTTCACTAGTGTCACTTCTGCGGCAACCAAGCCTTGAAACCCCTTATGCCACCGGGGCTCGGGCGCGTCTCCGCGGTCGAGTTGTCAGATGGTTACTTGGCATCAGTGGTATGTCTAACATGGGAGCAGAGAGCTCTGAGGCCCATTTTAGGCGGATGGTCTATGGGAAAATATTCGATTGTGCGCGACTACTCTCTGGTAATAGACTTCATTGGTTGTCGTTTCATATTTTTTTTTTCGCTGCCAGCTGTTTTCGGCGCTTACATATCTTTTTAGGCAGCAAAGCATTCGTTTTGATATACAAGTCAAACTCTCACCAACTCGCAGCGGACAGACTTCATATTGACCCTGGTACTTAATTAACGTCCTTCCAAAAATGAACCGACTCTCCCAAGGCTTCCATTGCCAACGAATTGAAGCTTTCGTTACCGTGAGCCGTCTTCGCGTAGCTCCTCAATTGCGGCAAAAACTCATCTGAGCCTTGAGCTAACTCGCCGCTTGTGGAGTTTATTGGGCTCATCGAGGCCAAAGAACTATCTGGGTCTTGGAAAACGGCACCGTGGAAACGTGAATCATAGGTTTCTTGAATCTCTGAATTCACGTAGTTGTAACCGCTTGTTGGGGGCGAGAGTAGCTCTGACATCAAATAAGCATTTGTTGGTCCTTCTGAGGTCGACTTCTGCCGTTTGTTTTGGGCTTGCCTGGCCTTTATCACGTCGGTGACAATCAGTGACAGCCGGTACAGCCGTCGATTGTATGAGGCTTCTGCCCGGCAGTCGGTAATGGTTTGGAGCATCTCAACAAATGCTTGAAGCATATCGATGTCACAATTTGACCCCTGGCCGCAGATGATGGATGACATTACTTCGTAAAGATAGAGTGAGGGAAGTGAAGCGAGGAAGCTATATCGGAACCGAATGGTCAGTCCTAGCCGTCTAGAGAAGGCAGCCAGAAAGGTACCGTTACTCACAAGGAGAAAACAGCCAGGCTCCCTTGATCCGGCGGGGAATGCCACAGCCGTAACAAGAGTTTCAAACACATCCTAGCAACCTCGAGAGCCCGTTGGAATATCGGATCGGGATGGTGCTTGTGGGGCCAAATGAGAAGCAGCTGAATAGAAAGGTATTTGATTGCCAACTGGAGGTTCGAAGCGGAGCCTCCTGAGAATTTTTGGATCTGGTCCAAGTCAACTCCCGACTGGGTCAGACAGTCTTGCAGTCTTGACAAAATCATTGCGGCAAATTCCTTGACTTGGTCCTCATTTCTCGCCTGCACGTGGACAGCGTATATCTCCAAGTAGACGCTCTCTTCTATCCTAGCCATCTCGGCCTTTGCAACAAGGCAGGATGGGATATCGTTTTCAGAAGGCACCAGGCAGGGGTCGAAACGGACCTCGGAGACTGGTATACTGGGAGATGATCCAGCCGTCCAGCAAACAGCCTTATCCAGAACGTATAAGCAGTACGAAATGTTTTGTCTTTCTTTGATGTCCTCCTCGCTCAGTTGACCGTGAAAGGAGTCCCATTGGTGAACGCCGATGGACTTGGCACATCGGGTGGCTAGAGCAAACAGCGTCTCGGATAGGCCTGTCGAGAGGTACACTTGCGCGACTATGTGCTTGTTGTTGTCAGCGATTCAATGCCACCAGGCAAGGCGGCTACTAGTCGGAGACGTACCAGCGATAAGAGTGCCTGCACATTGATGAGGTGCGGCGAGACAAGTTGGTCAATGTGGTTGATAGCGCGCTTTGCGTTGGTCAGAAAGCCCGCAATGAGGTCAAAGTCGATTGACGACGACTTGCGCGTGTGGCTGGATTGCATTGAGTCCCGCTGGTGGGAGCTTAGGGAGTCCGCTGACATGGCCATGAGGATGAGGCTGTTGCAGCAGACGATAGAAGCCAGGTTCCGTTCGGACGGTATTGATTGCCGCAAGGTAGTTGCCATTTGAGCGAACCTTTTCTTTGTCCAGATGGGAAAATGTTCATTGGTTGTTGTAAAGTATGGCTCGATCATGGCGTCCAGAATGGCAAAGGGAGGCGTTGTGGGCGGTGACTTTTCCCCGATGGGCATCTCCTCTCCCTGACCGACTAGAAGATCAATATTGCGTTGTGCTTGCAGCACGGACTCCTTCACGGGGTGTCTTTCGATATCCGCGCTGTCAAAGAGCTCATCCTTGATCTTGAGCATTAGTGACTCCAGAGACGTCGGGCCAAACCATCTTTCGTCGCTGTTTTGGTCCAAGAGGCAACGACCAAGCGGCCTCGTGAATCCGGGTGATTTCAACGTGTCTGGGAAGCGCTGGGGAGTCAATTGCGGTGTAGGTCTCGGTGGGCTGGCCGGGCGTTTTGAGGAAGGTGAACCAGTCGATGACTCCTCGAAAAGTCGCTTCAAGGACCGTTGAGTGTCTGCCAATGAAGCCTTGAAACGCGTGTCATTGAGAGCCCCGTCTACTGTAGACGTCAATGGGACTGCGGTTCGCTTACCTCAAGCTGTTGAAGGCGACTACCCATGCCCAAAATTGTATGGCTTCTATGGAAAATGAGCTCGGAACATTCCTATGGACAATAGTGACGCAGTACATACAGAAGGGTTGTTTGGTTGCACTTTTTGCCTTGACCAGACCACTCACATTGCAAGCCCAGGCGGTCACAATTCCTGCAAGAAGGCCTTTCTCGACTGCAGCGTATCTTCCTGGTCCGGCATTGGTCACATACTGCTCACAGGGATTGGTTATTTTCCTTGCTTGTGGAGCCGTGAATGGGAGGCTCTGGGCACTTACCTGTGTACTCGTCCCTAGGAGCCTCCTTAGCCATTTTCACAGTTTTGCCAGCAAACCGTCGTAGGCTGCGTCAATCTTTGATTCTCCTCAGGATCGGTCACGATCGAGTCTACTGCACAGCTTAACATCTTACAATGATCGTGGACAAGAGCCTTTATAGGGGGGATGGAGGAATAGAGTAAGGCTCCGTTTGCCAGCCGTTACATCCGTTCCCATCCTTTCGGCATGCTGACATGCATTGGTAGCGGGGATACGCTTGAACATCCCCAACGACACAGCATCATAAGGGCCTAAGACCAACCATGCACAGTAACCACCATGGCCCACCAATGGAGAGTGATGATTCGATGTCCCCAACTCAAGTCAGAATCACCTCAGCCTGTTACCCAAGACCATATGATCCATCGATGGTATATACTCCTTCCCGTTTGGGATTTGCTGCTCGTCTTTCATTGGATGCGCGGTTGGGATTAATGCGCTGAGATATTAGACTGCAGGAGTATCAAGGTAATCTATTTCTTATCTATTCTCCTTTTTCCATAGCAGCCGAATAAAAAACAGTGACCATTGGTCGATACCAAATGAAGGACATGGAAGGCGTTGAAATTACCCACTTGTCTAGTGGGAACCACCGGATAAATATATTGTGGTCGAGGTTCGGCTGAATCCAGCCCATCAACTTTCCTCTTCCGCCGATCATTAGGGCTTTGGTTCCGAACACAGCCTCCCCCCCAATCGAAACAGAGGGAGGTGAAAGGAGGTACTAAAACTAATCTCTAGCAAGGTTTGACTACCCCTTGCCTAGTGTCGCATCCAATGTCCTGACTGCGCTAACGCAGTAGCCTTCGTATTGACATTCTAACCAAGAAAAAGAGGCGCTAAATGACATGTTTGTCGCTTGGGTTATTGTGGTGGTTGCGTACTGCATATATGCGGGGTTAACTGTGTAGTTTGAGACGATAACGGAGGGGTAAGTTTGGACTATATTGGAGAGAGAGAGAGACTAGGTGGAGCCGAATAAACCCCCTTGAAGGAGAGAGAGGGAGGACGTAACTCAGTTGCTGTCAGACCGAGTACACGAACGGTGGGATCTGCAACCCACTGTTGCAGTACTTGCAAGGTAAGATAACGCGTTATCCGCTCGACCATCCCGGCAGAGCGAATAAGCCTTATTTGAAGATGTTAGAGAGCTAGGCGGAATATTGCGTAACTTCCCTCGTTTCGGGCACGGGACCCGTCATCAGCGCCCACTTGGTTAGGCCGGTGATGGCTCCGACTGGCTCCTTGCGGTCTCTGGCGTTGCTAGTCTGAAGATTCATAGCTCCCATGGAGCTTGGGCGGATCGGCAGAACGAGGCTTTGATCCTCACTTTGCGAGACGGTGTTTGAATGTGCCATTGCGCCCCGGCGGAATCTTCCCTCACCTGCTTACACCAAACATAGAAGAGTTCGAAGGGGGAGAAAGGATGAAACCAAATCAGGATCTTTTAGGCAAGGTAGGTACGTATTCTGCAGATACTAACCTGGCTGACACATTCGCAGACTGCCTTTGTAACAGGTGGTTCCGGTGGATTGGGAAAAGCGATTTCCAACATACTCGCTGCGCGTGGTTTGTCTGCACCCTCCAGGCCGAAAACCTAGAATTTCACTGATCCCAGGTTCAGGTGCCCATGTCACAATATTCGCGCGGCGGCCAGGGCCTCTGGAAGATGCGAAGAATGAGATAGTCGGGAATTGTATGGATGCGAGTCGGCAGGAGATCAATGCCGTCGCCGTGAATATGGCGGATGCCTCTGCGGTATGTTGCTCCAATTTCGGGAAATCCCAACGTTCAGAGAGACTTGCAACATGAAAATGAAGTTGCCTCCCCTAATAAACTCATAGGTTTCGGAAGCATTCAGGTCCCAACCCCGAATAGCGGATTTCCTGTATTGTTCCGCCGGGGGCAACCATGCGGAGAACGGGTTTTTCATCGATCTCCAAGCCACGCAGCTCGATTCTTGCATGAAGAATAATTATTATTCCACTGCTTATGCTGCTAAGGCCATGTTGGATATCTGGGTTGAGAACGATAAGAAATCTGCTGGCAGCGATTTCTCAAACAACACCACGGAACACACGACCAGGAAGATTGTTTTTGTCAACAGTGCGGCGGCCTTCTTGGGGTTACCGGGGAGCGTTGCTTATACGCGTAAGCTGATGATCTTGATCTGTTGATTCGAGTTGGTTGTCCTCTTCTGGCTAACATCGTCCATCTCGAAGCTGCCAAAAGCGCTGTCCGAGCCCTAGCAGACACCCTTCGCTTCGAAGTCCTCCGCCACAACTCCTCGCATACCACGTACACAATCCACATCGCATTCCCGGCCGACTTCATCTCCCCTGGGTTCGTCCTCGAACAGGACACCAAGCCCAACCTCACAAAGCAGATCCAGGGAACCAATGTCGCCACTTTTGCGGAGCTGGAGAAGAAATTTCCTTCCTCGGAGGAAGTCGCGCGGGGGGTAGTTGCGCGAGTAGATAAAGGGGATTTTATTATCTGTGAGGATTCGTTGCCCGGGTATCTTTTGTTTACGAATATGATCGGGCTGAGTCCCAAGAGGGGGCTTGGGATCGTCGATTCGTTGCTGAGTGTGGTGATGGGGTGGTTTGTTGTGCCGGTGGTGAGGAGGAGGTGGGAGAGGATGTGTAGAGAAGATAGTAGCCACAGCTCATGATGAGAGGTCTAGCAATCTCCTACGGGGCATCTCCCCTACGATTTAATTTCAGCTTTGCTAAGTCACACTTTTATTAACAGTTCAGTGTCTCTAAGATATGAACAAATATGCTAGCCCCTATATATATTTCTTCGATGACAATGTGGCATCTTCATCAGCCATGGACAGGAGCTGTTGCTCTACAGCCGACCAGACTCCTTTCCGCAGACTGTACAACAACCAAAAGTTCCCAGCAGCGTCCTTTCCAATCACCACGCCTGTGTTTCGCGTGGCATAGCCTTTGGTCCCAGTTCCTTGGATACAAGATGGTCTGCCCAGCTGATTGCTTCGCTTGTTCAGTGCCAGTCCCTCTCTTTCGACGGCAGCAGAAAAGTCAACTTCAAACAGTTTTGCTTTGACCCAATTGGATATCATTACCGTGTACATACTAGAATTTCCGAATAGGGCTGGGTGATGTGCATTGTCCAGAGTATTTCGTTGGATAGTGTCCAGTGCTTGGAGTTGTTCGACGTTCCGCTGCTGTATAAGAGACCGGCGGATTTCCGATGCGGTGAAGCTTAGAGGACTTTCGAGGATCTGGCGAACGGAAAGGAATGTCAAGGTTGCGAAGACGGCATTAGTGACCAAGGCACAGGTAGCGGATGGGATGTGGCCAAGGTCTGCTAAGATTGACCGGCAGCAGTATGTGTTGCGCATGTTCACCGTGCGGCTGGGGCGAGGTCTTTCGGCTCGGAGGACGACTCGCGTCCACCAGGCAAATAGAATGTCTCCCTCGCTAACGAAAAGGGGTTTGCCGCTGTCGCCGTCATCGCGCGCTGCGAGCTCCCCCATCGCCTTATCTCGCATCTGGTGCAGGTATTTTGCTGGCAAGAAAATGACCCGTTCCTCCTCCCGGCGCTGCCAAAACAGCTCCACCGTCAGAACATACCGCACTGCAAACCAGAACCATGCCCACCCGACGAGCAGCGTGTCGGTGAACACGTATTTTTGCAGCGGTTCCGACTTCGACTCAGAGAGGCCAGCCAATGGATCGTCGGAAAATCCCACAAAGGGCTTCACTTCATCTTCTCGTCCGCGCAGCACCGCAGCCCAGGCGTCCAAGACAGCATCAAGTCCCATCATGTCCATCAAGCTATGGAGGAACGAGACGGTAACCAGGGTGGCGTCTTGGAATGTGATAATGCGAACCCCTAGCTGGGGGCTGTCTGAACAAAGCCAACCTTCCAGGCGGTCGGGAAAAGCGGGAGTCCGGATAAAGGATCTGAACTCGGGCATGGATGTATAGGTAGTGCCCAGTACAGACGGGCGACCAGCGGCATCCAGGTGATGAGGCTGGGCTAAATGCGATGCTTGAGGATGATCCACCACTTTCATGTCAAACGCGACGGTGGAGTATGCGAAGCCAGGGCGCTTCTCGTCGTAACATTGTGGAACATGATATTCTAGTCCCGCTTCTGCATTCCGGCGGATTCGAGCACCGAGTTTCCGCCAGCCTCCTAATTCTAGCAGCCGAGAGAGGGCACGTCGAAGCTTCTCAGGGTCCAAGATGTCATCGAAGCGGAAAGTAACGTCGAAGGAAAGGCCTCGTGTGTGGTGGTCATCATCCCAATAATGGAAGGGAATGATCGTATCGGTCGATACGGTCGGCGGAGGGGCAGGTCCCTTCCCTAAACGAAAAGAGACCATGACAAGTTGTTGCCTGGGAAAGGAGCCTCTGGATCGATCACGAAGACGATTCTGGTGGTTGATCGTGGTGTGTTTCATGATCTCCGTACTCAAGCTCCGTAGAGACTTGTAAGGTTGCCCCACCGGCCGGGCCGAGCCTTCGGGGATCGGAACCCGTGTGGACCGCCTAGAACATGAGGCTCATGATTCATCCACCGACGCTGGAGAGAAGAGTTTGATCTCTCTATGTCCAGAGTAACTCGTTCACCCCGTCATTGTTCTTCCTTTCATCCCCATGACACGTGACTCCAAGGATCCTGCTGAGTCATGTCAACCACCGCGATCCGGAAGAATTTCTGATCCGGCATCCGCACGCTGAGAACAAAGGAGGTCACGTCCAGTCTAGCTTTTTTAGGCGGCTGACATTCCCATAGACTTTTTTTTTCTCACCTTCAGCATATTCCTGTGCTGACCACCCCTGTCGGCAGGTGTCACAATTTGAATTCGACTTTTGCGAGTGTGTCTCTGATTGATCTTGAGCCCTAAGCCCGACGTGGCCTGGAAGTGATATACTTATCGTGCCAAGAATGGGCCTGGCCCAGTTTGACGACAGAACGGGGGCCACCACCGAGATATCCACACCCGCAGTTCAACAAGAGTCAGATACGGCGCCCGTATCTGAAAAGCAAGCAAAGGTAGAGACCGAGACTGAGCCGAAGATAGGTGGGACGGAAATTCCTGTGGAGAGAAATGGCAACGATGATATCCAGCGGACCCCAAAGAAGTCACTGTCGTTTAAACTCGCTTTCATCGGCCTCGCTGCCAGCATGTTTGTGTTCCAGCTGGATGCCACGGCTCTCGGGATTGCCCTTCCGGTGAGCGATACCACTATTTCTCATCCGGTCCTGAATTGCGCCAAGACTAACCTCGTCCGTAGACCATAGCTGCTGATCTCCAGGGCGAGAGTTTAGAGTCCTTCTGGGCGAACTTGTCCTACACCCTATGTGGTCTTGTCATGCAGCCGGTGTGGGCTAGTATCTCCACCGCGTTCGGTCGGAAACCGCCTCTCTACGTATGCATGGCGTTGTTCTTCATCGGATCTATCGTCTTTGCTGTGGCCCAGAATATGAACACCATTATCGTCGGCCGTGTCCTTCAAGGGTTCGGTGGTGGTGGAATTGACGTGCTGGCAGAGGTGATTCTCGCAGATATGACGACGTTGCAGGAGCGCGCAAAATACCTGGGCTTGATGGCGATTCCTATGGCGGTTGGCAATATCATGGGGCCCACGGTTGGTGCACTGTTCGCGACCTATGCGAGCTGGAGATGGATTGGATGGATCAATTTGCCGTTTCTAGGGATCGGTACGCCGTTGGTGTTCTTCTTCCTCAAGCTACGACCAGTTCCCCTTGATGAATCGCTGGTCAAGAATTTGAACCGCCTCGATTGGATTGGTATGATGTTGGTCGTCATCGGCATCACGATCTTCGTTTTACCCCTCAGTTGGGCTGGCTCCTTATTTCCATGGGCTTCCTGGCAGACCCTCCTCCCAATGTTCTTAGGGGTGGCGGTACTGGTCATATTTGCTTTCTACGAAGCGAAACCCGAAGCCCCTATTGTGCCCCATCGACTCTTCCACTCGAAGACTGCAAACATGACGTTAGCCGGAGGCTTCCTCCATGGCGCGGTTCTGGTCTCGCTTTTGCAATACTTACCCTTGCTGTACCAAGCCGTACAACTCGAAACGGCCATTTTAGCAGCGGTCTCCCTACTACCCACCGTCATTATCAGTGTGGTAGTCGCAGCGGTCTCCATGATGCTGGTTCCGTTGTTTGGTGGATATGTATGGATTCTAAGGCTGGCATGGATCATACTCACCCTGGGAACCGGTTTGCTGGCCCTGTTCGACGTAGGATCGTCGTCATCCATGCGTCTTGGACTTCCCATCCTCTGGGGAATGGGTATTTCCTTGCTGCGTCTCAATCTTCTTCCCATACAAGCCAGCGTCAAAAACGTCGACGACACAGGCCTAGCGATTGGACAATTGCTCACCATTCGCATGTTTGGAGGCCTTGTCGGCCTCACGATCTCTTCCACCATTTTCAACTCTGTCTTCTCAACAGGCATATCCTCCTCTACAATCCAACCTAGCGGTCCCCTGGCCCCTCTCGAGGACGTCGCCAATGCGGTTTCTTTCATTGAGAAGCTAAGATCACTAGATGTCCCTTCTGGAACGCTGGACCAGGTTCTGAGGATTTATCTCAAGTGTTTCCAGACAATCTTTTACACGATGACAGGGCTAAGTGGACTGGGATTGGTGACTTCGCTGTTTGTGGATGAGATCGATCTCAAGTCGCAGGACCTCGGAAATCAGCGCTTCGAGGAATAGTCCCGAAAACGCATTGGAAAAGCGTTTGCAAACTGTCCAATATGATATATTATTCAAATAGATTGTACGGAGTAACTTTATATACAGCTGTCAAACATTGTCATAATCAATTGTATCCCATTGTTTCGGCTGGTTGATCACATCCTGCAAGTCCTCCATAGCCCCCTGAAGGTCATCCAAACCCAAGTGCAATGCCAATTCGATATAATCCTTGGTCCATAAGCCTGGCGAGCCTCGAGGGTACTGCGATCTAAACCCGACGAATCGCTGCGCACGCTTGGACAACTTCTTCACGGTTTCCAGCTTGATTATGAAAGGATGTGCTTCCGACGGAGTCAGGAAACTCGGGATGACCGTCAGCTGGATACATTTCCGTTCCATCTCCGTTTTGTTCTCGCCCATCGCATGAATGACTTTCCCCCCGATCAGTAGACAGTCACCCGTGTTCATCTCGGCTGGGATTGTCTGGTTCATGTTTCCGCGTTGGTCAAAGGGCCACTTGTTGCTCCCAGGGATGATGCGCGTGGCGCCATTCTCATCCCTGAAGTCGGAGAAGGCGAAGAGGAAGTTGATCTGTGGTTCGGTGCAATCAGGGCCGAGCTGGGCGTATGGTGGATAGGAGGTGAGATCGCGATGCAAGACCTGCCCGGGCTGCGGTCCGGAAGCATTGAGCGTTGTCGCCGCCGAGAGCCAGTAGTCTCCGTTATGCCCACCTTCGCTGAAGCAGCGCTTGCAGATGGCGTGGATAAAGTCATTTTCGAGAATCCGCTCTCGAAACGTGGCGCTGTGGTTAATGAGGTCGCCTGCACGCTTGGTTTTGGTGCCGTGGAAAGCTGCCAGGTCTGGATGGGGAACTCGGGAGCCTCGTTGGACGGAGTCGATGCGGGACTCGAGTTCTGTGGTGATCTGCTTCGCTTCCGCGGTGGTGAGCATGTTCTTCAGGATGACGCCGCCGCTTTCCTTCCAGTGCTTGAACACTTCATCCAACGGTGTATCGACGGTCACTTCCGCGAGCTTGAGTCCATTCGGTACGGCGACCTGTGGGACATCTGTTGGGACTCGCCACATTTCAAGTTCTTGGGGAGGGTTCGGGTGGATGTACTGATGATAGAGACGATGGGGGTTGTGAACTTGACTTCGATATACTAGTTGCTTGCATACGAAATTATGAATAGGAGCTTCCAGAACATCATATGGGCTATTTCAAGGAAGATCTTACTCTCCAGCCTCGGATCCCGTCCACTGATGCCTCCGGGCTCCCGGATTCCGATAGCCCGCCTGATGCAGTCAGCATTTGCAGCATCTTCCGTTCTTTCTATCGGCCAATGTCATACGATTCAACTTGATCCCTTGCTTACAAAGAGTGTGTTGGGAACGATAGAAGCCTGGGTGCATCACACGCTACGGGAGGAGAGGCATGTGGCTTGCAAGACATGCCTTTTGTGTGCTATCCAATCATGCGAATTCTGGTCCCAGAGGGGCAAAGGAGATCACTCCCCTACTAAGTTTTCATGCACGAAGGACCCTCAAAGACAACTATATATTTGGTATTTCTCTCAATAAAAATGTACAGTCTGAGCGAGATACAAAGAATGTAGAGGAAGTGCCAATAGATGCGTTGAATACTTTAACCAATTCTCTGCGTGAATCTCTAGTAGAGTACAGGTAGAGATTACGCGGAAGAGGGCTGAAGCCGATATTGCAGCAAGTAGCAGAATGCCACAACATACACTTACCGAGTGCAATCTGTACGAGGAATCGCTTAGCTCTCGTTTTCGGTCGCGATTCTATAAACCTCATTTGCGGTATATTGACCAAGAATATCCAGAGAGCCAATACTCATCATCTCCAGCATGGGAAGATCAAAAGCGAAGACCTGCTTGATCCAAGCGCGCAATTCGAGAGCCACCAACGAGTCAAGGCCGAGATCGAGCAGTGGCCAGCTTGTATTGGGCTCCTCATTCGGTTTCAGCAACAGATCGAAGAGTCTCTTGCCGATCTCGACTGCAAAGAGCTTCGATGCTTCTGGCGACTTGAGAATAGACGGATCCGCTTTCGCATTGTTAAGATATGATTTCAGAATATCTGTCGAGGCTGCGGTTATGGCAACCGCAGAATTGTTATGATAGGAGGCCATGCGACGATCTTTCTTCCAGATCACGTAGTTACTGGGATCGTGCAATGGAATAAGTAAAGCAAGCCCGACGAGGAAGGTATTTTTGTGTACGAAATAAGACGTGTTCTTTGACTCGACGGCAAGAGCTTCCTCGACAGCTTGACCTGGGCTGTTATGGACCAACATGGATATTGACATTGCGTCAATAACTTCCTGCTCCAGTACAGGCTTGAAACCACTCCTGGACATTTTCCCCATCATTCCTTGGTGCTCTGAAATCCATCCAACGTCCTCGACAGCTCCCATATCAACTACAGAGGCCGCCAGGCCCAGCCCGTTACGGTATTGGGCAAACGCGTCTAGGAAGCTGTTTCCACTGGCGTAATTGGCTTGACCAGCTTGTCCAACGATACCTGAGACCGAGCTGAACATCACAAAGAAATCAAGATCGATCTCCGACTCCATAGAGGCATTGTGGAGGTTCCAGGTTCCCTGAACCTTGGGTGCCGTCGACGCCATCCAGTCGTCGAAGGTCATCCTAGTAAAGTTCTCGTTGGCGACGACCATTGACATCTGTACAATACCTTTGAGGGGAGAGGTCGCTGCACCAATGGCCTTCTTCACATCCTCCAATTTCGTGGTATCTCCGCTCACAAGCTTGACGGCACAGCCCATGCTCTGGAGCTCAGCCACAAAGTCATCATCTTTTGGCGTGAGGCCCGCGCTACGGGACATGTAGACGAGCTCACGGGCACCGTGATCGACCATCCAGGTAGATACAGCACGACCGATACCGCCAAGGCCACCAACCATGAGGTAAGAGCCCGACCGGTTGAATGAAATCGTCATAGCTCTCTTGGTGGTTTCCAATCTAAGCTGGGTTTCCCCTTGGGCTGCCTTGAACGAAACCCCAACACGGCCGATGTGTTGTCCCTTCTCCATAAATCGGAATGCATCTTGGGTCTGGGTTGCGGGAAAGATTGTCGTGGGTAGCGTGGATATGTAGCCTTTGCTGTAGAAATCCAAGATGGAGAAAATCAAGGCTCTGGCGACATGGATTCTCTTCCAGAGTCCATCAATATCGACACAACAATAATTGCGGTTTGCCAGGAATGGCTTCATATCGAGCTTGCCATCCCCGATCAGATCTCGTTTTCCGATCTCGAGTAGAGTACCAAACTCAGCCACGCAGCTCCAGGTGGCGTGTAAGAGCTCGCCGGAGAGGGAGTTGAGGATGAAGTCCATGCCACGGCCGTCCGTTTCTCGCATGACACCATCCACAAATGACCTGTCGCGAGACTGGAAGATCCTGCTTCGCGGGATGTTGTAGTTCTCCATCAAGTACTTGACCTTTTCGTCGCTGCCAACCGTGACATACACTTCAGCCTCCAGCATCTGGGCCACCTGGATAGCTGCCAGGCCCACTCCACCACACGCGCTGTGGATTAAGACGGACTATGCAGGGAGGATTGATCAGTATATGCAGCTACACGCTACACAATAACGTCGGGTCTTCTGTGTCACTTACCTGGCCTTTTGTGACGCGTCCGACGTTGACCATGGAGTGAATCGCGGTGAAATATGGGATAAGCATCGTTCCAGCTTGATCGAAGGTTAGGCTGTCAGGGATACGCACGCAGACAGCAGCCAACGTCGTCGTATATGTCGAAAAGGCGTCTTTTCTGCAAAAGCAAACGACCCGATCGCCAACCTGAAGGTCGTCGGGGCTGACATCTGCTCCCACACGCGTGACGATGCCCGCAGCTTCGATTCCAAAGAGACGGACCGGCAGTTCAACAATGCCCAGTGCAACCAGAATATCCTAAGATCTCCTGTCAGTAACATGCTACGTAGCCGGGGAAAAGGACCTGGATTGACTTGCCCTAAAGTTCAGACCGGCGGAGTACACTTCGACCTCCACTTCGTCCTTTTCGAGATCCTTTCGTTCTTGGCGCGCATAGTGTAGACTGTTGACCCGTCCTGGCGTACGAACGTTCAGTGTGGCTATCTCGCTCGACTCTTCTGAAGCCAAGAGCTCATCGGCCAGGATGAATGGGTGGAAGCGTGCGACTTGAACTCGGTCATTGAAGATGGCCCATTCGTAGTCGGGGTTGAGTTCCTCATTAGGGTCATCTTGGCGAGCCTGGAACTTGGAAAGCACCTGGAGCAGTTGGTCGATGGACTTCAGGTTCTCGAAACTGTCGACCTGGCAAGTCGCCAAATCGGCCAGCTGCTCCGTACGGATAGTTCTGGCGAGGCCGAGAACTTGTGCATACCGTGGATCACAGCATCCTATGTCGATGAGATGAGTCGCCCAGAGCATGCCGGCGTCGCGTTCTTGAAGGCCGAGAAGGAAGGCCTTGAATGACAGGTAGCTTGCTTCATCAATCTCGTGGAAAAAGGGCTTCTCGATATCTAACAGCGAAATCACATCTTGTCCAGCCGGCGGATCATCTTCTAATCTGCACCTGGTGACCTGATAGCCCCCCTTTTCGAGCTGGCTCAGGATGTTTGTGACAGCAGGCACTTCCTCCTCGAAAAGAACTGTGACCTTCTTTATGGGCGTCTCGCGGACCTGCCTTACAACCCTAGTGACAGTAAGTTGGTGAGGCTCTTCTGAATCGAGAGCCACAGCCTCGATATCGCCAAAGCCTGCAGCAGAAAGCTTCGACTCCCACTCGTCTTGGCGCAGGTAGGCCGCCTCGATTGGCCCGTCGGCAGAGCCCGACCAGGAGGTCGGAAGCACACCGAGCAGATACTGGACCCATCTGGATGACGGGGAGAGCTCTTGCAGAAGCAGTCTCCCATCGGAATGGAGGAGCTTCCTGATGTTGGTCAAGCTTTCCTGGACATTTTTGGTCTCGTGAAGAGCGTTGACAGCTATAATTAGATCGTACCCAGCGTCCTCAAACCCTTGTTCGAACGGATCCTGAGTGATGTCCAGGCTGGCGAACTCCATATTTGGGAATAGCTTCTCTTGCGTTGTAGCCACCACGTAGCCTGGGGCAGTCAAAGTGTACTTGGCACAGAGAATCTCCCCGTCGGTGCGTGTCAATTCGGCGACGATGTCACGGTGCAACGACACGCCGTTTCCGGTTCCAATCTCTAGGATTCGGAGGTTGGGCTTGGAGTGGCTCAACTTTTGAATGAATTCCCTTCGGTCCAGCTGTCCAATAAATTCATGGACGTGCGTTAAAGCTCCCTCCGGGAAGACACTCTCTAGGATTTCGCCGGACAAGAGGGAATCCATCTGTAGGCAGACTTCACGCATGGCACTGGCGACTGGGGCTGCTGTAGTGTTTGCTAGCTGACTCATTATATTGTCAATCCGAGCGGAGATAGCCTCGTTGTCGAGGCCTGTCCAGGTCGAAGGTAATCTGAAAGGAATTGATCTGGATTGAGACCCGATCCAAGCTATGTACTTCTGCAGATGGGGCAGGATTGGATTACTTGTCGATTCTAAAAGACGGGATTGGGACAAGAGCAAGTAGATGTCCCCGAGCTCCTCCAGGAGACGCAAGTGGCCTGTTCGGCTTGCTGGTGCGCGGAAGAGGTCATGGACATCTAGGAAGTCAATATCGGGTCTCCACTCACACCTCGACGCGGCGTGTGTGTCCGCAACGTCCGTTGCACCAGCACCATCCGCAAGTGACATTCGAATACCAACGGCTTCAACGACTCTCGTGCCTCCAGATGTGCAAACGCCGTCTCCAACGACCGAAAAGTTGCTCGACAACTTAGCAGAAACGCTGGTGATCATATCCGAGGAGCACCTATAGACGGTGACTCTATCGATGCTGGTAGGGAGCCAGGTTTTGGTTTTGCGTCCGTAGCCCTTGACTGCAGCGGCACCCAGGATCTGCAGGGTCGCATCAAGGGCGGTGGGGTGGATGTAGTAGTTGGCTTCATCTCCCTGCCTTCCATTGCCAACATTACCAACAGCCCTCTGTTCTGAAGTTGAGGTCGTCATTGTCTCGAGTGTCTGGAATGATCCTCCCAGGTTGAGGCCACCTTTGCCCATCTTTTCATACCATTTCCTGACATTGAGCTTCCGGGGAAGGGCTGCAGGATCCGGGGCCTGTCCCGGCGCCGACGCCTGCGCGCAGACCTCCCCTGTACAGTGCTTCGTCCAATTGCGCCCGTTGTAAGCTGAGACGGTGAACTCCCACCATGCACTATTCAAAGAGTTCGTCAGGCGGTGCGGCCTGAAGCTGGCCATCATCTCTGTCGGCTTTCCCTCGCTGAGCACCAGCGCCGTGGTGACAATGATATTTCGAACGCTGAATCCCTCTTCAATATTAGTCAATTGTCTGATGGCCTCACCCGCCAGGGCAATGTAGCCACAGAACGGGAAGACGATGTTCTCCCCGACCTTGTGGTCACGAATCCACGGCGTGTTTGTAACATGGAACATGTTACGCCAGACAGGCTCACTGTCACTGCTCTCAGCCACCCTAGCACCAAGAAGATCGTGGTATTGGAATTTGCGGTTGCGCCATTCCTTGCTGATACGAGATTCGTACCAGTAGCTCCCTTCATGATTCCATGGGTATCGGGGAAGGTCCGAAAGACAGGAACCGGTGGGAAAGAGGGCCTCAAGATTAACATTAACGTTAAGTGAGTGAAGGGCTCCAATGGCAGACAAAAAGGTTGCGGTGCAATCCTGGTTGCGCGCCATGACCGAGACATAGGGAGCTGGAGAAGAGGCTTGAGTGAATATTTGTCTCAGTGGACCTGCGAGAGCACCATGAGGCCCGACCTCAAGGAAGACTGCATTCTTTCCCACGTCGTGTTTCAAAATGGCCGTGGCGGCTTCGCAGAACCGGACCGGCGATTCCAAATTGTCCCGCCAGTATTTTGAACGGATTTTGTCCTCCGGGCCCAAGATATTTCCGGTCACGCTGGAGAAGAAAAGCGCCGATGGTTGTCTTCCGACCACTTCTTCGCCGATCAAGGATAGGTAATCCTCGCCGATCTCTTTCATATGGAATGAATGATAGGCTTTGTCGACCTGGAGCTGTCTGGCCAGCGTTTGTGGCTGTGCCTCTTTGATAGCAGCAACAACAGATTTGACGGCGTCGACGTCGCCTGAGATTGTAACGCTCTTGGGTGAGTTGTCACAGGCAATCGTGACGTTCGGGACGAGGTACTTTTCTGTCTCCGCCCAACTCATTCCGATAGCTGCCATTGTCCCTTCTCTCTTCTGTCTACTTGTCACCGCTCCACGGTGGTGGGCAGCGGTGATGGCCTCTGCAGCCGTGAGAGCCCCTGCGGCGTATGCTGCAGCAATTTCGCCACTGGAATGGCCCACGACTGCGTCTGGACGAATTCCTGCGGACTTGAGAGTGTCGACCAGTGCAATCTGAATAGCGGTGCAAAGGGGTTGGGAGAACTCAGCCAATGACAGTCGGCTCTTTTTGCCTGGCTTCTTGAGCTCTGCTTCGATCGAGTACTCGGGCTTATCCCCAGTCATGGTCTGCAGGTGCTGATCGAGAGAGCGGATGCTAGACCTGAATACTTGATTCGACCGCAACAGCTCCCGTCCCATCTGGGGCCACTGTGCGCCCTGACCAGTGAAGACCATAACCACGCTCGGCGGTTTCGCAGACTTGGAGTTTACAGACTGTGAAACACTTTCAACCACTCCATTAGTGACAATAGCAAAAGCTCGATGGGGCAAGTGCTCCCTTCTCCTTGCCAACGTGTAGGCCAGGTCGCTGACCTTGTCCGGATTTTGTTCCACCCATCCCTTGTAGTTGTCAATCATCCTTGTGATTGACTTTGGCGAGTTGGCTGTGAACAACAGAAGGTGTGGTGTCTCCGGGGTTTCGTGAGTCGCAGCCGGGACGTTATAGGTAGCAGCAGATTCCAGGATGACATGGGCATTTGCGCCACCAATCCCAAATGAATTTACACTGACACGTTCGAGTCTGTCCTTCGGCCAAGGCAGTGGCTCGGTAGGAACTGTGAGCTTACTGTCCACGAACGGAATGTTTGGATTGGGGCTGGTGAATTTGATGTTTGGCGGGATGATGCGATGCTCGAGTGCTTTCACCATCTTCAATAGAGATACAAGACCGGACGCAGCTTCTGTGTGTCCAAGGTTGGGCTTGACCGAGCCTATGTAGACGCCCTTGTCCCCAAAGACCCGGGCCACAGCTCTCGCCTCGATGGGGTCCCCAGTCGGCGTACCTGTCCCGTGGCATTCAACCATGGCGGTTTCTGCGTAGTCAGTAATACCTCCGAGTTCATATGCCCTCCTCATCAGAGCTTCCTGTGCGTCCGTGCTGGGCTGTGACAGTGTAGCGGTCTTTCCGTCTGCATTGTGGGATGTGGCTCTCACGACAGCACGAATAGGGTTGCCATCTCTCAACGCATCCGCCAACGGCTTGATGAAGATCGCCGTAACCGCCTCTCCACGGGCATACCCATTGGCGTCAGCCGAGAAGGTCTTGCACGAGCCGTCACTAGATAAAACTCCTTGCTCCTGCATCGCCATCGACATTCCTGGTGCAAGAATCAAATTAACACCACCCACCAGGGCGGATTCGCAGTCACCTCTGCTAATAGCAGTGCAGGCCTCATTCAGAGCTACCAGGGCGGATGAACAGGCCGTGCGGATCGTCATGCTATTCAATAGTGTCAACACAGGGCTATTATTTGGAAACAACTGTCGAATGAAAGATCATACCTTGGCCCTTGCAGGTCAAACTCATACGAGAGCCGATTGGCGACAACAAAGTCTCCCGAACCGGAGATACGATGTATTCCCCATGGCTGGGTCTCCTTCCCAAACATCTCCAGCCAGTCTTCTCCGAAATTACCAATATACGTGCCTATAGTCTTGCCTCTCCAATTCGTTACGCCGGCATCTTCGAAAGCCTCGCGTGCGACCTCCAACATGAGCCTCTGCTGAGGGTCAGCTCGCTCTACCTCTGTTCGCGTCATGCTGAAGAAGGATGTATCCAACGCCCCGACGTCGACACTCTCGTCGAGGAAATATCCATACTCGGTTGAGACTGTCCCTGGCTTTTTTGTATCCGAGTAATATGAGTCGATGTTGTAGCGGGATTCAGGAACGCGACAACGACCATCTTTCTTTGCGAGGAGGAAATCCCAAAGCTCGTCGGGCGTCGTCAATCCTCCTGGGAGACGACAGGCCATACCACAGATGGCGATGGGAACATGACCACTGCCATGGACCTTATGGGCCGAAATACCATTTGTGCCGTTTGTGTGCACCCCGTTCGTGTGTACCCCATTGGTGTGTACCCCATTGGTGGGATGCCCGCTGGGAGTAGTAGCCCCATTCATGACCGTTAACCCCTGGCCATTGATGCCATTACTGTCGCCCATAGTCAGTGATGTGGATTCGAAATAAAACTTGGTTGTTTCGCTGTAACCCGGTGGGCCATCTCTACATTTGAGTTTTAAATGACAGTTAACATAGTTATGGTCAACCACGTTTCATGCATTTGCCATGTGCTCGGTTTCCCGCCCGCTCGCAGGCCGGAACCCGTTCTGGCGACGAGCCGCAGCATCTCGGGCCGGTTCGCCGATCGGGATCTAGATGATCTTTAAATGGGACTATGAAATGACGACTCAAGATATTGACTCGATGTACTCTTGAGCTTTCGTTCTTTCGTTCTTTCTTTCTTTGCTGAGTTACACTACGCTGGCCGTCGAAGCCTTCATCTTCCGCAACCTCATCACCATGGGATCTAACGGCAAAGTCGTCTCGGAGGTGGTCTCCTGGATCAAGAGCCAGAAACTGGTCGCTCCCCGCATGAAAGATGCCCCCACATTCTACCGAAATCTCGAGGAGGCCTTAGATGTTCGACGGTCAACCCAATCTCTAATGACCCGCGGACAAAGCACATGGAAAACTGGAGATGCGATTGACTTCTGCTCCAATGATCTTCTCTCTCTCGGACTCACAGGAGAACTGCGAAGGGAGTTCCTAGCTGAGCTGGCCAGACACCCAGACTTCTCGCTGCATTCTGGGGGCTCCCGCGTTATGGGTGGCAACTACGACTATATCGAGGATGTCGAGCAGGAGATCGCCGACTTCCTCGGGGCAGAAACGGCTCTCATGTTTAACTCCGGGTCGAACGGAAACATTGCCATCTACACAGCTATCCCACGGCCTGGGGATGCCATTGTATACGATGAGCTGGTTCACTTCAGCACGCACACAGGCATGGCTGCCTCGTTGGCTACGACCAAGGTTGCCTTCCGCCACAATGACCTTGACGCCTTTCGAGAGGCCATGTCCTCCACCATGGACTCTCAACCCATGCTTCAGGACGGTTCACGCTCGATCCTTGTATCCGTAGAGTCGGTGTACAGCATGGATGGAGACGTTTGCCCTCTAGTGGAGATGCTCGAGATTGCTCGAGAAATCTGTCCCAAGGGGAACTTTGCTTTCATTGCGGACGAGGCTCATGCCACTGGAGTCGTGGGTCCTAAAGGTGTCGGTCTCGTCAAGCATCTGGGTCTAGAAAATGAGGTTGCAATTCGACTGAATACCTGCGGCAAGGCCTTGGCCTGTACTGGATGTAAGTTCACTAGACCTGGCTGTAGCCCCTTGCTCAAGCGGTATAACTGACACATTATTTTGATAGCTGTGGTTCTTGGAAATGCCACGGTTCGAAACATGATGCTGAACTATGCTGGGTCCCTGGTGAACACCACATCCCCATCCTTCCCGTCGGTTGCAGTCATTCGCTCAGCCTATAACCTGATGAGGACTGGGGCCACGCAGAAGGTATGCAACGATCTGCTGAAGGGTCTGAAGAATTGACAATAACACAAACCATAGGCTCAAGACAACATACAACATCTCGTCAAGTACTTCTTCAAATCCATCACCTCCAGCGACATCTGGGACGAAGCCACCGATATGGGTATCTTGTCTATCCCCGTGGCCGAGGACTATGAGGAGCTGGACTTTGTGACGCATATTGTGCCAATCTGGACCCGGCAGAAGTACAACTGGTGGCTCTTTTTCCACCTGCAACTGGCGAAAATTGCGGTCGTTCCCATTGACTATCCCCAGGTTCCCAAAGGCAAATCACGAGTCAGGGTCATGATCCATGCTGGAAATACGGAGGAAGAGGTGGATTATCTGGTGGCGACGCTTTGCGACTTTGCAAAGGAGATGATCGATATCGAGGAGGGTGGCGAAAAGGGCAAGATACCAAAAGCCGCGCAAGAGATTTACGCGTTGATGGCCGCTCACACTTGAAACTGAGCGTGTGGCATATCCCAGTTCAAAATGGAGGATCCACGGATATCTGTAACTTGGGCCCAAGTAGGTATGGCCCTGCTTAATCAGTTGCCGCTTTTATCTAATTAGGCCTAGTCGGCCGGTGAAGCAGGTTGGCAGGTTGAACCCCCTGTATTGTCATTTATCTTTACCATAGATTTACAAGCAGCATTACATCACTTTTCTATATGTGGATATATCTATCTTTATATTTAGATAGATTTGTATACATCTTAAGTGTGTAAATTATTTATAACCAGGTCTAAAAGTAGCTAGAGTATGTGAGGTCCTGATTTTCTAAATGTTCTGCAAGATGCAGTATATATCTCTATCCACAGATGCAGAATATAATATATAATGGACATAAATCTAATACATTAATTTTCTTTCTTAATAAATCCGATAGATATCTATGTATTTTTTTGAATTATATAGTAATATCAACACTAGAATGATCTGAATATCATCAAGAATCAAAGGTTTCGTTTAATTCAAGCGAGTAGGTAAATCCAACCCTACTAAAAGTATGACTCAGGCGGCCTGGCCACATGACTCATGAAGACTCATGAAGACTGTCCGTCTTCTACTGCATATGATTGGAGGCTTAGGAGCCAAACGGCTAGAGCCGCAACGGAGCTTCCGCCACTCAATTCTGAAATTCTAAGGAACAATTGCCCCGTCGATCTTTCGATCGCCTTCTCTTTTGATTTAATCCTCGTCGCCTCCGGGGGAACAGGCCCTGTTTCATTTCCTTTGTTATCCTCAGACATACCTCCTCTCGGGTCACTAGAGGGAGTCTCCTCGACCATCTGTCATATCGCACCTACCAATTGCAGTTAGTTCTTTATCGTGCATGAGCGGGCGGGACGAAATTTGTAACCGGCTATCGATCACCGAGACTATGTCCGACGCGCCTGCACCCGTTGCAGAGGGAAGCGCATCTCGCCCGAGGCCATCGAGACGTGGAGGCCGAGGTCGTGGCAATCGCAGTCATCGACGGCCTCAGACGCAAACTACAGAACGCTCTCATGATGCACAACCGCCAACTCAGCCGCCATCACAAATTCAATCTACCCAGAATCCACCCTCAGACCCTTCCGCTGATGCACCACGCTCTCGCAGAGGACCACGGAGGGGAAGAGGGGGAGGTCGGGGTGGCGGCGCACCCTCGGAGGGCAGCAGTCGTCGACAAAGACAACGAGGCGGAGATCGAGGGACAACCAGTACGGGCAGACGGTTCGAGGGGCGCTTAACGAAAGCAGAGCAGGCTCCGGAGGACGAACAGATTGATGCAACAGTGGATACGAATGATCTAGGATTGAGGGCCGACGCGCCTGCATTTGTGCCAGGAACCCAGCCAGAACATGTCGCGAACAAGGCAACTCCCTCGACTACTGCACCTGCAAAGAAGAAGCCTAAAGCTAAGAATGCCCCGCCTCCGCCGCCCAAAGTTACGACAAAATCAGTAGCGCCCGACATCGCCACTCGCATTCACGAGGATATTGCTCACAACCTTTATGAGTGTCCTATTTGTACCGCGGAGCTGGGGAGGAGATCGCGTGTCTGGAACTGTGGGTTATGTTGGACGGTATTCCATTTGAGTTGTGTCAAGAAATGGTCGAAGAACGAAGGTGCTGCTGCGCAGGACGCTGCTCGTCGCCAGGGAGAAGGAGACCCCACTACCCCCCGAGCCTGGCGCTGTCCTGGCTGTAACCTTCCCCAAGAAGTATTTCCATCAAACTACACTTGCTGGTGTGAGAAAGAAGTTGACCCGCGGTCGCTTCCCGGCCTTCCACCTCATTCATGCGGACAGACCTGTGCACGGCAGCGGAAAGGCTGTCCGCACCCGTGCGATACGACCTGTCATGCTGGACCCTGCGCGCCATGTACAGCTATGGGCCCTACTCAAGATTGCTTTTGCGGCAGGAATTCGTCCACCAAGCGTTGTCAGGATACCGATTATGAAAATGGATGGAGCTGCGGGGAAATCTGTGGGGATCTTCTGCCGTGCGGCGAGCATACTTGCCCTCGACCCTGCCACGAGGGTCTCTGTGGTGATTGTGAGGAGAGGATAGAGGCTCGCTGCTACTGTGGAAAGGTACAGACGGAAATGCTGTGCAGTTCCAAAGATGAGGAAATGGACAGCCAAATGCTGCGCGATGAGGACGGTGAGGAGAGTCATGTTGAGGAGTGGACTGGTTGTTTTGATTGCGGAGACCAATGCAATCGCCCCTTCGATTGTGGCGTTCACTTCTGCCAGCAGCGCTGTCATCCACAGGATATACACCCCGCTCACTGTCCAAGGTCACCAGATGTCGTGCTTCATTGCCCTTGTGGTAAAACACCATTGACCGAAATTCCCGGATATACCCCCCGAAACTCTTGTGAGGACCCGATTCCCAACTGCCTGGAGGCGTGTGGAAAGATTCTGCCATGTGGACACTCATGCGACAAGGTCTGCCACACCGGTTCATGTGGGCCTTGTTTGCGCAGAGTGCCCGTGCCGTGCCGTTGCGGACGCAACTCTTTTATGTCCATTTGCCACCAAGGTACTCTTGAGCACCCTCAGTGTTTCCGCGTCTGCAAGGCTGGCTTGCATTGTGGTCGCCATGCTTGTGCTGAGCGGTGTTGTCCCGGCGAACAGAAGGCGGTTGAACGTCAGGCTCTGCGGCGGAAGCTCAAGTCTCATCTTCGCCCAAGTGATGAAGATGTGGAGGCCGAACATATCTGCACTCGAGTGTGTGGCCGTATGCTGAAATGCGGGCGGCATACATGCCCTGAGCTCTGTCATAAAGGACCCTGCAACACTTGTAGAGAAGCCATCTTTGAGGAGATCTCGTGTAATTGCGGTCGATCTGTTTTGTATCCGCCCTTACCTTGTGGGACCCAGCCGCCGCCATGCTCTTCCCCGTGCGAACGCCCAAAATCATGCGGACATCCCCAGACGCCACACAACTGTCATACGGATGAAGAGGACTGTCCAAAATGCCCTTATTTAACCGAAAAGATGTGTTTGTGTGGAAAACAGATGTTGAAGAACGTGCCTTGTTGGCTGGCAGATGCGCGGTGTGGCCGTATCTGTGGCGAAACGCTTAAATGTGGCTCTCATACGTGCAAGAAGAACTGCCATCGCCCAGGCGATTGCGAAGATACTTTGAAGCCTTGCCAACAGCCATGTGGAAAGACCAAGACAATGTGCGGTCATCCATGCACGGAGCCTTGCCACGCGCCTTATCCATGCCCGGAGAAGACGCCCTGTTCCTCCAAGATCACGGTAACATGTGGTTGCGGACGACTCCGTCAGGAGCGTCGCTGCAATGCAGCGAAGGCTGTGGCATCAAAGGGACAAGTGCAGCAGCCACAAAGACTGCCTGCTGTGACACCATTGACGTGCGATGATGAATGCGCGCGGCTTGAGCGGAACCGTTCGTTGGCATCTGCTTTGGGGGTTGACATTAACCCGTCAACAACCGTTGCTCAGAATTTGACGGCCACGAACCTCCCCTACTCGTCTGAAACCTTGGACATGTATATCCAGCTATCGTCCTCCGCTCCTTTGTCTACCCTCCAATCTTACGAATCTACCCTTCACTCATTAGCGGCCAATCCAACACAACGTTCTGTACGCTTTCAGCCGGCAAAGTCATCCCTGCGGGCGTCGTTCATTCCCTCGCAACTGACTGGGGTTTCGCAAGCGAGAGCTTTGACCCTGAACCTCACCGACACGTGTTTGTTTTGAAACCTACAGTGTGGAACCCTCCTCTTCTTGGGATGGGCAATGGAACAGCGATCGGAATCGGAGGCATGAGTGTGAGCGAATGTGTTAAATTGCGCGAACGCCAGAGACAGAAAGAACGTGAAGCTCAACGTCTTGCGGCAGCGGAATCAAAGGCCCAACGGGAAGCCGTTAAGGCCCAGGCAAACGCCGCCAACGAGGGTGGATGGGCTCAGGTCGCCGCCTCACGACGAAGCAACGCCAGCACCCGGAGTACGACTCCGAATCCAGGCACGGCTTCCCGGTCTGGCTCGATGTTTGCAGCTCTCGCCGGCGATGATGGCAGCACATGGGGCGCTCCAAAGAAGGAAAAGCTCGTTCTTCGTTCAGGAGTAGGCGCTGGGAAACAAATGCGAACCCGACAACCCGCAGCTGAGGTCGTTGATAGTTGGGAAGAAGAGGAAGAAAAACAAGAGCTGGAGGAGCGTGCTCAGGAGCGGGAGCAGGAGCAGGAGCAGGAACAGGACGATGGACAAGGAGATATTCAGAAAGAAACCACCGAAATCGAAACAACAGGGACTGGAGAAGCAATCGCTACTTCTTCGGCGGTCTGATACCGAGGCGTTTGAGATGATTGTTAATGATTGCGTATGGAACGTTTTCTTAATCTTTGTTTGTTTTTCTTTTTCTACGGCATCATGGATATGGTTTCACATGATGATGATGGCGATCAGATTAGCGAGCAGGATTCGCATAAGTGGCGTGTTTAAAAAGCGACTCGTAATCTAATAAAAAGTTTGATAGAGCTTGACTGAATGATACATGATACTACTGCAATACCATAGAAAACTAATCAAATCAGTAGAAAACTTCAAGTGAAAGGGAGAACCTGAACAAGCGATCCTAAGTTGTTGTAAGCTTAGAGATTCTTCCTGCAAAGCGGGACGAGTCCCTGGAGCCATCTCCTTAGTCGTAGTACCTCGATCCCGGATACTGGTGAATATAAAGGTAGACTTGAAGTGCCTATGCTGTCTAATACAGCTGTACCAGCATAGCTCGTTTATTTGCCCTGGTATAGCTGAGGCGATTTGTCATATCCTTTAGGGGAAGAGCCATCCAACCAACAAGCATAACCAAGCTCACATATGAACCAACTCTTCTCAAATTGGCTACTGTAGCACAACTATTAATTACGCGACGGAGACCGTGCTATCTGTGCCATCTTCTCTATAAGGCTGAGCCAATTTACTGTGACACGTTACACGGAGACAGAGCTACTATACTTGTCCTATGCTTCTGTAAAATGTATCGACCGCATAGGGTTACGTACCCCCCTTTTCTATGCCCCATCCTGCGCCAGTCAAGCTTTGAGATAAGCCATTGGTCCCGGATAGATTCCACTAATTAAATGAAAAGAATCATGATCGACAGATGATGTGGACTGCCGCAGCCACTACTGCGGTTACAGGAGAAGCATGTACTAATCCATCCTGTTTCACTTATAAAAATCATTAGAGAATGATCAGCGGAATGCAGCAAGCTAAATTATTCCCTCCTTTGATCATTGATCTTCATCTGTTTCATTATTGATTTGGGTTATCTTTTCAATCTTCTTCCGACGTGGGTGAGTTGGAAGGTCCTTCGTTATCATTACTAGATGGATGTAATAATCATTAGGTAACCACTAGCGACCCTGACCGAGGTCACGCTTCCCTGCCTGTCGCTTTGCTTTTTCTCCTTTGTCTCGTTGCATGTTGCGATTGTGGGGATGGCCCTGATGGCTTCGTCTAGATTGACTTGAACAGCTTCATGGCGGCAGCTATTGAATTCCCGTGGCGAACTGTAGTTGCCTATCGTTCTCATTGGGGATAGCTTACAGGGGACATGAACTCCGGACTCGCCCGGCGATTCTCGAGGCTGTCTTGTGGCGGTCGGGAGCTCCGGTTACAAAGTCTGGTACGGTGCGCAGCACTAACCCAGCCTAAACGATCTAGACAGGTGGGATAATAAGGGTTTCCACGGTAGCCTGCACCAAAGCGGTGTTTCGTTGTCTTTTCTTTGTCTGTCGTTGCCCTCAAAGTAGCGAATCTTTTCTTTTTTTTTTACCTTCGCTCTTTTAATCAATCGTTCTGGCGGTTTGTGTTAGCGTAGTGCGGTGGGTTGAGGACAAAATCTGACGGTTCATGCTGGCTCTACCGACAGTGGCTTGGCAACGGACAATACAGAGAGCGAATTTTCTTGGACAATACGGAGTACTAGGCAGTATCTAACAAAGAAGATAAAAAATGCTTATTGGGTAGATTAATTAAAATTAAAGAAAAATGATTCGGGATGAAAGCATAATATATCAGACTTTCGGAGCTCTTTGTGTAGTTGGACATCAGATTAGATTATCTGATTGATTTGATCCCAGACGAAAATCTTATCTACCATGGGACAGACGCCTGGCAAACAATGAAACTTTCTCGTGGTCGACGACGTCAACACTGAACACACGGTGAAAAAATTTGCAGGTTTGACGGTGTTGCCGACGTGGGGGCCAGCCGTGCACTAAGTGGGGAATGTTTAGTGGGAATTTTTGACTGGATTTTTATGGCATGACTGACTGAGCTTTGGGCAAGACTTGAATACTACTCTGATAGACACTGTGTACACTGTAGAAATTTCAGAAGCGATCATTAGCGGTTGTTGGTCACCTGAGTGTAGGGATATTTCTTTTTTGCCTGGGTTCCTTTTCCCGATTTGTTTAGTTTGAGGGGGTTCTTGACGTGGTCATTGTTCATGGTAACCCAAAGTTCAACCTTGCCCGGTCTAGTGGACAAGAAAGAAGTCAAATCAGTTTCCAAAGTCAAATGTCACATTGTTGGTTGGGAAGAATAACACTACTCTCACGCACTAACTCAAATAACTCCCAAGAAAGCGGGATGATAGTCTAGTGCCCAAGACCAGAGATGTGCTGTACCTGTATGCACTATAAGACTTAGCTACCGCAGTACGATGCTTGCTCTCCTGTTCTCTGCTCGGGCCATGTCTTGATTCAAATGTGAGACGCCTCATACGCCAGGACGATCCCACTCAATTGATCCCGTCACCTTACGGCCAAGTCTTCTCTTCCGCGGTTGGACGTCTTGTTCATCTCGTTTGACTTTACAGCCGGTATTCGCTCCTTGGCATCGCGTGGGAGAGGACGTACTAAGCTCTGTGTGGAGGAACTACTGTGCACCGGTGGGGGATGAGTATATCCACACCGGAAGTTTTTCGTGTGAGGACGATGCTCGTCCTCAATCATATGTCGCATCGCACCAGAACTCGTAGAGTGTTCCCCAAAGAGTCAGTCTCGATTGAAGCGAAAGGGAGGATATTATACCTGGAGAAATTAGTTCTCAAGTTGCATGCAGAGGTAGGTAGGGTAGTGTTGTTTGCAATAGACACAGACAAGGAAACCGCTCCTGCACCGGAAGAGAACCAGGGAGATGAAACCTGCAAGGGCAAACATCGGATCATCATCCTGTCGAGGAAACTTCCTTTTTTTCTTTTTTCTTTTTCTTTTCCATCCTATGAGCACCACCAATGAGTGGGTATAATTTCCGCTCAGGCATTTTTTCAGCTCCGAGGCAGCGTGTATCGGTCGGTATCGGATGAGACTAAAATGGCAGTTCCATAATCAGATCCCAGAAAATGTTATCTGATCCGGCCATTCGCTTTGTGGCTCCACGCCTACAACCCCCTCCGCTCCATGATTGGTTCGATACCACCACTTCCACCACTCAACCAGCATCGTTTGGGCTCCACGTTGAAGCGGCGCGTCTTGTGCGGGAAAGGAAAATTGTGTTTCGCATGATTTCTATGGCCCGGCCTATGCGCCGTTACTGGCCGATATATTGCGGTTGATTTCCTGGTGCGGATTTCTTTCCTTCTTTTCTTTTTTATAGACATTATCCCTTCCCCCCCTCCTTTGTTACCTTGGGTACCCAATCTTTCACCCTTTGATTACTTTCAATTGGGGAAACCACGCCATCAAGATCTCAAACAGCAAGTGTGATCTTCACGCTCGGAGATCAGAAGAGAAGGGAACGAACGAGGGATCGCGCTTGGACGTGACCCATTCAATCAAACATGGGTTTCTTGGAGAAATTCACTGGTGCTACACCAGCTGCAGAAACCGGCGATACCGAAGCTCATAGGCCGAAAAATGCAGCGGAAGCAACCGGAAACCAGATCCTTTCTGTTGAGACTGACAGTTCCCGGCTGAGTCTTGAAGCGCGCAACGAGAAGGAGGCCCAGGAACATCCCGATCAGGTCACGCGAGATGCGTATCTCGGTCAGCAGAGAGCCGAAGCCGCTGCCCTTGTTTGGAGTAAGAAGGTAGTCCTTGCTACCTATGGCTGGTGAGTATCTCGCCTAATTTGTCAATTGTTTGTCAAATTTCATGTCTAATTATGCATCGTCACCTACAGGATTTGGGTGTGTTTCTTTATGATGGCGCTTCAGTCGGCTCTCAGCAGCACCGTTATGTTAGCCGCCTATTCCAGTTTTTCATCCTCCCCGCAGGTCGCTACGTCCAACATTTTGTATAGTATCATCGGGGGCGTCCTGAAGCTGCCCATTGCTAGACTTCTTAACGTGTGGGGTCGTGCAGAAGGTTTGCTCGTCTTCGTCGGGGTCTACACTTTAGGCCTGATCATCCTTGCTTCATGCAATGGACCTAATTCCTTCGCCGCCGGCCAAGTGTTCTTTTGGGTCGGGTACAACTCTGTTTACTATATTCTCGACGTCTATATTGCCGATACCTCTGGCCTGAAGAACAGAGCCTTTGCTTTTGCCTTTGCCAGCACGCCTTTCATCTGTACTGCCTTCACTGCACCTTTGGCTGGCCAGTCTTTTGTCCGTCACACCGGCTGGCGCTGGGGTTATGGTGTGTTCGCTATCGTGGTTCCCGTCACCATCTCTCCCCTTGCTATAGTTTTCAAATACTATGAGCGAAAGGCCACCAAGGCGGGTGTCTTCAAACGGGAGCCTAGTGGCCGGAGTCTTGGGCAATCGATTGTACATTATTTTCACGAATTTGATGGTATGTTGCAAAACCTCCCGTCTCTCTGCTTGTTTGCTGACATTATGCGATTTCAGTTATTGGTGGAATCCTCCTGATGGCCGCTTGGATCCTTTTGCTGTTGCCATTCAGCCTGGCAACCTACGGTCGGGCCCAATACAAATCCGCAACTTTCATCGCCGAGATCGTCGTCGGATTCTGTCTACTTTTTGTTTTCGCCGCGTGGGAGAAGTGGGGTGCTCGCTCCCATTTCGTAAGCTACGAGTTGCTCAAGACGCGCACCGTTTTAGGTGCCTGCGGTATGGCTGCTATTTCCTTCTTCAGCTTCTACTGCTGGGATCAGTACTTCATGAATTTCTGTATTGTCGTGTACAACCTCAGCGAGTCGATGGGTGGTTACATGGCGCAGATCTACAACGTTGGCTCCACCTTCTGGGGTGTTGGCTTCGGTTTGTGGGTTCGGTTGACCAAACACTTCAAGTACGCTTGTCTGTTCTTCGCGCTTCCCCTCATGATCCTGGGTGCCGGTTTGATGATTCACTTCCGTGGTGAGGGCGGTGGTGATATTGGCTATGTGATCATGTGCCAGATATTCATCGCTTTCGGTGGTGGCTCTATTGTCCTTGGTAATGAAATGGCTGTCATGGCCTCCGCTGACCGTGAAGGAGTGCCCATGATGCTGGCAATATTGGGTCTGTTCAACAGCCTGGGTGGTGCCATTGGCTATGCTGTGGCCGCAGCTATCTTCAACAATACCTGGCTCGATGCTCTCCAGAGCCGTTTACCAAGCGACATGCAGTCCCAGGCCAACAAAATTTACGTTGATGGTTATACACTCCAGGTAACGTACCCTATGGGAAGTCCAACCCGTGATGCCATTAACTACGCATGGGGTCGTTCTCAAATGTACGGTTCGATTGCCGCGACCTGTCTGCTTGCTCTGGGAATTCCTTGCATCGCCATCTGGAAGAACTACAATGTCGACAAGAAGCAGAACAAGGGTACTGTTCTTTAAACAGTGGGCCTCTCCTTCTACAAAACTTGGAAGAAAAACAATAGAATCTCTCTTGGATACCCACATCTCATGTACTAAATATTGATAATTTGGAATGGTTAGTTAGAACGCCACAAGGAAAGGGCGAGAACCCTCCTATATGGTTGTAATACTTATCGATTTAATGTCAAACTCATACCCATTACTACTCTTTACATTCAGGACGCTTTTGATCAACTACTCCATCTCTAGATGGAGCCTATCGCCCTCTCCTATCCATCTCTATCTCGAAGCAGCACTGTGTTCACAACTTTCTAGAATAGTATAGAGGATATGGCGAATGGTACGGTCGAATGTTACCTCAATTTATGATGCTCTATCATGAGGTGAACATAACCTATTTCCTCCTGACAGCTTTTGCATGTCTTTTACCTATAGTCCACTTGTATGCACGTACATACATACATCCTACTACTAATAGTACTCGGATACCCCAACCCCGCGGGCACGTGCGACATCCCTTGCAGACCATCCAATACATTGTCCCCAACCTCTGTCGATCAGCCCCTTCGCTTGGACATGATGTTACATTGCATTCAGTGGGCATTGAGCTATCTCCAGCTACTCCGCTATGTCACACTGTTACTCCACTTCGTACACGCTTTTCCCCCAGAAGTGTGCCTCACACACGATAGACTTTCAAACCCACCAAACATGCTGTTTGTCGTTAATCGGATCTGAGGTCTTTAATATTAGTCATATGCAATGAGTATGCGTCGAAAGTACATCGCCATCTTATGTGCTCAACTGACGAGCCTTGCTCTGGGAAGTCATCAAGCGCGCACTCCAGCGGCGAACCAAGACGTCCTTGGATATGTTGACCCTCTCATCGGGTCAAATAACGGAGGCAATGTGTTTGCAGGAGCTAGTCTGCCATATGGCATGGCCAAGGCAGTAGCAGATGTTGATGGTCAAAATACCTCAGGTTTTTCCACCGACGGCAGCAACGTCACCGGATTTTCTGCTTTACATGATGCCGGCACAGGGGGGAACCCATCATTGGGCAACTTCCCTTTGTTCCCTCAATACTGTCCTGAAGACGTGCTTGACAACTGCAACTTCCCCAACGCTGCGCGGGCAGTCCATTATCTGAATGACTCGGTTGTCGCCCGGCCGGGGTATTTCGCTCTCTCGCTGGAGAATGGGATTCATGCTGAAATGACTACCACGGAACATGTCGCCCTGTTTCGCTTCAAATTCCCTTCAGCGAGAGCAGCGAATGGTTCGGAGCTTAGCCCATTAATTATGGTAGATCTGACTGATCTATGGAAAAGTCGACAAAACGCGTCCATTAGTATAGATGCGCAGACTGGACGTATCAAAGGCAATGGCACATTCCTTCCCAGCTTTGGGGCAGGCTCTTACGTATCGTATTTCTGTGCGGATTTTGCCGGCGCACCTATACGAGATAATGGAATTTGGGTCAATAATCGAGGAGGAACTGAGCCTAAAGAGCTATACGTTACTCGAGGGTTTAATAACTTTTATCTCGAGGCTGGCGGTTTTGTTAGGTTTGAACGACCTAGTAATGGATCAGTGGGTGTACGAGTCGGCATTAGTTATATCAGCACAGATAGAGCTTGCGAGAATGCACAACGTGAAATCCCGCAACCACTAGAGGAGTTCGACGATATTCGGCGTCGTGCAGAGAGTGCTTGGAGAGAAAAGCTTAGGCCGATATCTATAAAGCCAGGCGGTGCGAGTGAGGCTTTGCAAACCAGCTTCTGGAGTGGTGTCTATCGCACAATGCTTGATCCACAAGACTTGACCAGTGAGAACCCACTCTGGAAAAGCGACGAGCCCTACTTTGACTCTTTTTACTGGTACGTATAACCGATTCCCAGCTTGGTACAGGACCTGACGTCCTCCAGTATCTGGGATTCCTTCAGGGCACAGCATCCGTTCCTCACAATTGTTGATCCAGCGGCACAATCAAGGATGGTACGCAGTCTCCTCGACACGTATAAGCACGAAGGCTGGTTACCAGACTGCCGCATGAGCCTTTGCAAAGGCTGGACACAGGGTGGTTCAAATGCCGACGTCGTGCTAACCGATGCGTATGTAAAGAATCTCACTGGGATTGACTGGGACTTAGCATACGAGGCCATGGTCAATGATGCTGAGAACGAGCCCTTGGAATGGTCGTATGAGGGAAGAGGTGGCCTGCAAAGCTGGAAACGACTCAACTACATACCATACTTAGACTTTGATTACCTGGGCTTTGGTACTAATTCCCGAAGTATCTCACGAACGCTGGAATACTCATACAACGATTTCTGTTTATCGACAGTTGCCAAAGGACTCCAGAAGGAAGACTACACTAAGTACCGGTCCAGAGCTGGAAATTGGCAAAACTTATATAAAGCTGACCAAACTTCTTTGATCAACGGCACTGACACTGGCTTTGTTGGCTTCTTCCAACCCAAGCATCTAAATGGAACGTGGGGTTACCAAGATCCAATTGCCTGCAGTGCCCTTGCTTCATGGTGTTCACTAACAAGCAATCCATCCGAGACTTTTGAATCTAGCGTATGGGAGTACCAATTGTACAAGCCCCTTCCCAGCTCAAAATGCGAACGCTAACGATTATAGCTACGTCCCCCATGATATGGCGACTCTGATAGACCTCCTCGGTGGCCCAGACACATTCGTCTCCCGACTCGACTTCTTTCACACCTCTGGTTTAGCGGATATGGGCAACGAACCTGTGTTTCTAACGGTATACCAGTACCACTATGCCGGGAGACCCGCGCTCTCCTCTCGCCGTGTGCATAGCTACATCCCATCTTTATTCAACACCTCGAACAGCGGCCTGCCTGGAAATGATGACTCAGGAGCTATGGGTGCATTTACTGTGTTCTCCATGATGGGCCTTTTCCCAAACCCTGGGCAAGATGTCTACCTTATTATTCCTCCGTTTTTTGAGGAGGTTCAGATCACGCACCCAACAACAAACAAGACTGCTACGATTCGAAACGTTAACTTCGACAATGCCTACAAAGATATTTACGTTCAGAGTGCAACGCTCAATGGGAGCCCTTATACAAAGAGTTGGATTACCCATGACTTCTTCACTCAGGGTATGACGCTAGAGTTGACTCTGGGGGACACTGAAAGTGACTGGGGCTGTCGTGAGGAAGACTTGCCGCCTAGTCTGAGCAAGTCATTTAGTTGAGACAAGGCCGAAATTTTATGGCAAATTGATGTGGTGCCGGAAATAGGAATGGGAGCTCGAAATGTAGTGGCCTCTACTTATGAACATAGTTTATCTGAGACAATGTAGATGACTGTGCTGCACTGGTATGGCAGTATATATATAACACAGTGGGTCCAGAGTATATAAGAAAAAGTACTGTAGTTATCGAGGATTTAGCTTAGTGATTCTGTGCAGCCCCAGCTAACTAGGCTCACTAGCTTGATTATCCAGGGCTGCAGGACTCACTTGGTCTGTTCAACACTCCCGAGTCTGACATGCGCAACTTTAACCTTGTTGGGTAAAGCATGGTGTCAGCCTGAGGCCATTCTGTAATTACCCCGACCAATCGGTGTCGCCACATGACGGGAACTTTTCCCCAACTCCGAATAGCCGTGATTCTGTGAACAGCAGCTTATCCGATTCTATGGGACAGAGATGTAGGTAGCAGGCCTGCATACTGCATACAGTTTAAGGTGTTTTGCTGTCCTGTCGACATTCTCGTAATTGTCATTTGCCTGCTATCTGTGCGACAGCAATTATCTCGATTCCGTCTTCGAGAACTCCTAATTTAGTGCTGAAGCAGTCTTCTCGCCCCTCCTGAACAGTACTACTTCGGTAAACTGAACCACTATAGGTTTCCGTGTCACGGAGATTTCAAGGTTCTTTGCCCTGAATGCCCTCGCGTCGCAGTCATACAAAGTCCCGAAAGGGCTGTCTGCAATGTAAACGGCGCCATGTCAAGGTTGGTTACTTCCATGATTTTCCATCTTATTTTCGTTTCATCATCACATGACTTTCATTGGCTTCATTGGGTTGACACTTTCCATCGCATCTTTCGCTCTCTTTTTGGAAGACAATCTATCTTCTACACAGTCGTTGACAAGTTCTAGTGCGACGAAGAGCTCCCAAGGTGCGGCTTGTGCCAAAAACGAAAACTGCAATGCAAGTACCCAGCCTCATCCAATGAGGCTGATGGTCTAAATCCTTCCACACCTCAGGATGAGGTTGAGTCAATACATAGCTCAAACGAGCTGTCTTTATCCACAAGAATGCTGGAAATGAGACTTTTCCATCTCTACCTGACGGAGACGTACATCACCCTGTACCCCGGGAAGCTCGATACCAATCATTTCCAGTCCGCCGTCCCAGGACTAGCGACCTCTTATCCATTCTGCCTGGATGCTCTACTGGCATTTTCTGCCCTACATCTGGCCTCGAAAGAGACGGGCGATAACCGCCAATGGGTAGAGTGCGCTCTGAAGTATCAGAACCGCTCCTGTTCTGCGATGAGCCGTGTGTTGGCTGAATTCTCTGTTGAGTATTCTGGACCAGCTTTCATTTGCTCCATCCTCATCATGTTATGCTCATACGCCTACCCCTGCGTTTCCCAAGACGACCAGCCATTTGATCCTCTGGCACAGGTCCTGGCAATCCGTCGACTGCTTGCGGGTTGTGCTTTCTTTTTTCACCAGCTCGGTAAGATGGAGCATCCAGGCGAACTAGCGGGGTGGTTACGATACAAAGATAGCGAGGACTTAGAAGAAGAACTCCCGAAAGAGTAAGTGCCTTCCGCTCTACTACTGGACCTTGTACAACTAAGGATTAACGCTGGTTCAGACAACAAGACCCGAAACTCATCCAGTTACGAAGGTATTTGGTTTTCCTGACATGTTGGTATACATGGATAGGAAAGAACCATTACTAACATCACTCGAGTGCCCTATTGGATTCCCTAGGTCGTATACGAGGAATGATTGACGATGTTGATGAATCTCGCCGAGAAGTAAATCAGGACATCTGGGAGTTTCTGAATGAAGCAGTTAAGCGACCATTGGGCGGACGCGAAGGCGGAGTTATTGCATTGCCGATTAGAATCAGCGATGCTTATGTGGACCTCCTCAAAGAGGGCGATTGGACGGCTCGTATATTATTTCTCCATTTCGGTGTTGGCATGCATCTCCTCTCTGACAGGTGGTTTGTGAGAGACTGGGGACGTCGGCTCGTATCGACAGTGTTGCAGCCACTTGAGGAAATCCCGACTCAATGGAAAGAGACTGTTGCATGGACAAGGCAAGCGGTGGACCTTGACCAGTGGTCACGACCTTGAACCAGAAGGAGGGCAAATAAGAAAAAACCCGCAAGCATTCAAGACAACCAAAGAAAGATGGGGAAATTAACTCTTGATCCATAACAGGATCTGCGATGGAACCGTCAAATGCGGAGATGTGGCTGATAGCTATTACGTAACAGCCTTGATTCCTTGCGGGTTGACACCCAAACCCCATGATAACTATACGGAGGACCGAACAATGGGCGATGATAGCAACCCGTTGGGTGGACCATGGATATCCCTACCTGATCCGGCAGGTCGTCAGATGACTTCACCTCGGGCTTTGCGCTTATCTGGTTCATGTGTACCGAGCATGTGCGGAGATACGGCAGCATTGTTATCTCTAGATTGGAGCCCTCCCTTGCTGGGCGCAGTCAATTACATAGAGCCTCCCTATCTCTTGTTGCATCATATTATTTACTCTCTGTGCCACATATTGAAGTCCTTATAAAGTCCTTTTTCTTGGCTTACATTCTGACATGTTCTGTTTTTGTCTTATCTATTCAACGATCTCACAAATGCAGATCCCTCACCCGAACTCAGTAAGCCGGAATGAGTTTATCCAAACCGAGTGAATTGGTTGGACCAGGGGTCCGAGGCATATTGGGCCGAGATGTGGAGAAGCAGGTAGATATAAGCTTGCTCGTTCTTTTCCCCTGACATCGCGCCATCTCTGGGCGTTATTTGTCTTCTTTCGGTAGTAATACCTGGTTGGTGACCTTGGCAGCCACTTGTAACCGCTTGCGACCTTCCGGGCACCGAACTAACCACTGGCTGGCCGAGTGACGATAGGGAAAGAGCCTCGATCATGTTTCGCCTATTAAAGACTACATTATCCCTCAGCTTCATACTAGTGCTGGCATTGATACATCTGCCGGATGTGCTCTCTTCACCACTGGAATCATCAGCTCGCTATGAGTCGCGAAGCGCCAATGCAGTTAAACACATCGAGGAGGGCAAGCTCGGAGCAGTGGCAAGCGAGAGTGCTATCTGCAGTCGTCATGGAACGGAGATGTTGAAAATAGGCGGAAATGCCGCCGATGCTGTACGTAACGGTAGCTTAGGCTCCCCGTTATATTGCCTTGACTGAGTTACAAATACAGCTTGTTGCAACGATATTCTGCGTAGGAGTTGTTGGTGAGATACATCAAAGTAGTGGAGAAGACATGTGAACTGACAAAAAGATCCCAGGAATGTACCATAGTGGAATCGCTGGAGGAGGGTTCACGTTGGTGAGGGCTCCTAACGGTTCGTACGAATTCATCGATTTCCGCGAAACCGCGCCTGCAGCTGCGTTCGAGGAGATGTTCAAGAACAACACCGGCGGATCCACCACTGGAGGCTTAGCAAGGTAACGGGTATTTTTCCAATCAACACGAGAAGCAAACTACTAATGTGCAGCTAGTGGCGTTCCTGGTGAGGTGCGAGGCCTGGAGTACCTTCATAAGAAATATGGTTCTCTTCCATGGTCAACCGTCATGCAACCTGCCATCCAGACGGCCCGTCAAGGTTTCCCAGTTGGTCGTGATCTCGTTCGTTATATGAACTCAGCCGTCGGGGGTGGAGAAGACTTCCTATCTAAGAATCCAACATGGGCTATTGACTTTGCTCCTAATGGAACCCGTCTCGGTCTTGGGGATACCATCACCCGTAAACGCTACGCAGACACGCTGGAGACGATTGCCAACAACGGCCCGGATGCGTTCTATACCGGCCCAATTGCGGAAACCATGATACAGGCACTGCAGGCTGCCAACGGCACAATGACGTTGGAAGACCTGCGTAACTACACCATTGCTATCCGAGACATCTCGCAGATTGACTACCGAGGGTATAAAGTTACTGGAACAACCGCCCCCTCCAGCGGCACTGTCGCCTTGAACATTCTTAAGGTTTTGGATACTTACGACAGCTTCATGGTACCCGACAACGTGAATCTTAGCACGCATCGTCTGGATGAAGCTATACGTTTCGGATATGGACTGGTACGTGGACGCATCTCTTTGTATTGACCCCGGCATCTAGCTAACTTGACATCAAGAGAGCCGAACTGGGAGATCCGTCCTTTCTTGAAGGTTTAGATGAATATCAGAAAGGTATGCTGGCACAGTCGACGGTTGATGAGATCCGTGGGAAGATCTCCGACCTGCACACACAGAATGTGTCTGCCTATGATCCTAAAGGCCTTGAGAGTCTTGATACGTAAGCACATGCTCGCTAAGCCCCATTATCCGGTCGTACTAACTGATCCAGCCCTGGAACGTCTCATATCGCTGCTGTTGATCATACTGGACTTACGATTTCCACTATCACAACCATCAACTTGCTTTTCGGCAGCAAGCTCATGGTGCCAGAGACGGGAATCATTATGAACAATGAAATGGATGGTTAGTGATTACCTAGACAGCCTCTTCTGCAGATCTGAACCTACCTGCTGATACTATCCAAGACTTCTCAACGCCCGGCTCGTCCAACGCTTTTGGATACGTCCCTTCGGAGGCGAACTTCATCCGACCCGGAAAGCGACCTCTGTCATCTATTACACCAACCATTGTGACACATAAGAATGGATCGGTCTTCTTTGTTGCGGGCTCGGCTGGCGGTAGTCGAATCATTACAGCGACTGTACAGAATATCATCCACGCTGTCGATGAGGCTTGTCGGCAGCCGAGGCTTTGGCTAGGCCGCGCCTTCACGATCAATTAATCCCGAATCAGGTCAAATTCGAATATTCCTACAATAATGAGACAGTGGCTTTCATGAAATCTCTAGGCCACAATGTGACATGGGTTGCCCCAGGAGACAGCACTGCGCAGGCAATCCGGGTATTGCCGAACGGAACATTCGATGCCGCTGGCGAGCCTAGGCAACTTGACTCTGGCGGTTTCGCTGTCTGAGGACTATTCTCCAGTTGCATCTATACGGCATACGGGATAGCTGCTATCACGGATACAATGATAGACTGAACATACTTTCGGACATATTTTGAGCATCTACTTTTGTGGATATGGGAACCTGAGGAGATATCTGAAGATATAAATAGAATATTCCTCAATTGCGAATACATATATAAAGATCTATTCTCTGGATATTCTTTTAGATTACCCCAACTCTCCATCAGTCGTAGGCTTGTCACTTTCTCGCTAACATGGCTTGATATACAATCTACTGCGGACAGCTGAAGTAAAGCGAAAACAAGAGATACTGCAGCTATAACTAGTGTAGGGAACAAAAGTCGATCTATAATAGAACTCAAAGGTACACAATAACTTGACAACGATTGAACAAATAGTAAATAGATCCAGATGCTGATTAAACAATTACTTGATTGAGAAACATGAACAACATAAGCTTAAATATCCCTGTTGCCAACTTAACGTTGTATGATTAATATCGAGTTGGTCCGTGCACATGCACCCAGGATCTCCGCGTCTCGCGTTTCCTATCAGCTTTGTTCACTCAAATCTCCCGTATTAAGGAAGTAACGACTGAAATTATTGGCTTACACGCATTTAATTACTGCCGTACCAAATATTATACTTCACTGATCTTATAAAGCCAACTGTTTGTTCCCCGCCAATTCAGCCTACATTTCTCGGCACCGGGATCATGGTGGCTTGAGCGCGCATAACAGCGAAGATTGACAACTTTCGATTATGACAGCCGTACACACAATCCCCCCTCCAACAGTGAATATACCCTCGGGACTATTCACCGAAAACAAACCCCACTGACAACACGACGGTTGTGTTAGTTGTCTGACCACTGCCGCCCCTTCTATCCTGAACATGCCCGACCCTAGTACATCGTCCTACCACCAGTCGACCGGATGAATAACATACTCAAGCGAGTTGTTTCCCTGTTCTCTGTCAAAGAACCCCAAAGGGACGTTCCTCCAGCGGAGCGCGACGAAACCCCCGATCAGTCTCCGACTATGGATCATCCCAAGCCTGTCGCCGTTGTTGTCTCTCCTCCCGTCTTCGACCTCGATTCCTATGAATCCTTCGATGAGGATTACTTTCGACGCACGGTTGATGAGATTCTCTCCGATCAAGCTAGTTTTGAGAATAGCTTTGATGAATATCACGGCGCTAAGATGATGGATGGGACATGTGATCGGGGGACTAGTATGATGGGGTGTTCTGCTCCTGGGAGCTCGGGGTCTAAGGCGTCGCCCTATTTTCCGAGTAAGGTGGCTAGGAAGAGGCCTGTGGCGCATAGGGTTATTCGGAAGGTTGAGAGCACAGATGAAGATGACTCGGAGGAGGATGAGGAGACCCTGATCTTGGAAGAGGCTGAGGGGATTCATGATGGCCAGGGTGGGGGCAAAGTGGTCGAACGGGAGGGTCCTGCTGATTCTGTCGCTAAGATTAAACTTGAGGAACTTGAAAAAGGTGGACTCGGGGATGATGGTGTTCGTGTTCCGAAGGACGAGGTCGGGCCTGCAGCTCGGGCTCCCTCTGTGATTGATGTCGATGCCTGCGATGATGAGGATCTTGAGGAACTCTCAGAGGAGAGGTTCGTTTTCGCGTCTGTCTCGGAGGAGGAACATGACCGTCTTGTTAAATTCCTTCTTGATCACCCTTTCATGCGCGAAGGTGCGTATCCAGTGAAACGGTCTGCGCGGCGCAGGTTCGTAAGTGATGTGCGACGAGAGGCGTCTATCTCTGGCATGGATGAAGGTGCCCTTTGTGTACTCATAAAGTGGATCAAGAAGACATATCTCGAAGTTTGCGTGGTTGCCGACGCTGACAAGGAAGGATCGGAGTTCGGGGATGAGATTGATGAGAAGATGGTTGAACATCGATCACCAAGAGAGTTGAAGAAAGAACGAAAGAGAAAGAGGACTAGTATTGATCAGGCAAGAGGACAGGCCAAGACAAAGAAGACGAAAAGATCTGACATTTCGATGGTTCCTAGCAAACACGACGTACGAGAGGCCATAAATGTTGATAGCGACGATTCTGCGATTGCGATATCGAAGTCCCTCTCCGCGAACATCCATGTCAAAGAAAAGGACCCAGCTCCCCAGACTGATCTCCAACACACACCTACCTCCCATCGAGTGAATCATGGGAATGTACAAGCTGGAAGACCGGTACTTGAACATGTTACTCCCATAACACCAACTACCCCTTCAATACAGAAGCGCAATAAACAGAGCATCTCTCGCAAGAAGCCATCGCCGTCAATGCCTCGACATTATAATTCCACCCCTAATCATGATGTCAAAAGCAATGAGGGAAATCTACAAGTATCCCAAGAGCGCATTTCGCGGAACGACTCGTCTAAAAAGCGTAGCGTCTCTTATGACGCAGATCCGCCGAGCTCATATTCGAAAAATCCGAAATCGCCAAGTAACTTAAAGAATATCGCTGGAAGCCGCAAAAAGAAGCACGGAAAGAAAGACAAAAAGCGACATCTCCGGAAAGAAATTATAAGGTCTGAGACGATGCCTGAGATTAGCCCTCTTTCCCGGAAAGGTGACCAACGTGCCACTGCCACTCGTATGGGAGGTACCATACCACAGGAGCTCCCAGCGGAGAGCACTTCTTTTCCACACAAGGCAGTGTCCATGGACGACCCATTTTGGGTTATGGATTTTTGAAGCCCAATGATTCGCAAGGATTGACCACCTGCGCTGAGGTAAGGTCGAAGTATTTTAGGAACCCCTCAAGGCAGACAAAGTTGCCAAAACATTCGATACCTGAAGAAACGCTGCTTATTTTCAAGGAGCTTGGACTGCCACCCGACATCCTTTCGTCTGACTCTGGTTTGAGTGATGTACCTGATGATACCACTTCTATTAACGATAATGCCTCCTTGTCACATCCCACATTACGTATATCACCCCCAAGAGATCATCTTGCGGAGAGGTCCACGGAGTCTCCCAGGACTCCGGTCAAGGGCGCCTCTCCGGTTAGATCTTGCATCGATCTTCCAAAACCAGCACTTGGCAGACCCGCCAAAGTGTCGCCCTACTTCCCCCAGCCGCTTGTGGATCCTGAATCATGCATACCATTCCCTCCTATCGATGCTGACTCATTCGGTCTGGTTCAAGAGCAGCTTGCACACGATCCGTTCCGCCTGCTTATCGCGACTATATTTCTAAACAGAACTCGAGGAGGGGTTGCTCTTCCCGTCTTGTTCAAGGTTTTTGAGCGATATCCTACTGTCGAGGCAATGGCTACAGCGAACGTATGTGACCTTGTGGATATGATACACTGTCTTGGGTTCCAGAATCAGCGGACGAGGAAGTGTATTAGTCTCGCGCAGATGTGGATGTCTCACCCACCGAAAAAAGATGAAAGATATCGCAAACTCCACTACCCCTGCAAATTAGACGGACGGGATGTCCGACCACAAGAGTGTATTGATGATGCAGACCCACGTGTGGCCTGGGAGGTTGCACATCTACCCGGGGTGGGGGCTTATTCTCTGGATAGCTGGCGAATCTTCTGCCGAGATGAGTTGCGAGGCCTAGCCAAGGATTGGAAAGGGTCTGGTGCAGCTACGGCCGACTTTGTTCCAGAGTGGAAAACAGTTCTGCCACATGATAAAGAGCTGCGGGCATATCTGACTTGGATGTGGCTTAAGGAGGGTTGGGTATGGGATCGTCAGACGGGACATAAAACTCGAGCCAGTGAGAAGATGATGCGAGCTGCACGCCGCGGCGGAGTAGCTCTTGAAGAGAATGGGAATTGGATCCTGGAGACCTCGCCAGTGAAGAAAGCTGCAAATGGTCTGACTACGTGGGATTAGGCATTGGCGGATTGCATATGTATGGAGTTGGTTCACGAGTTGGACATTTCGGTGATCGTTGTTTCAGGAAAGACCTTATTCGGATATGAAATATGATACCCTTAATTGCCTATGTGGATAGATAGTCCAAGAAGTGTAGTTACTCCGCACAGCTGTTGTCTCGTGGCAGCTTAAGGCAAGCGACCCCTGCCTTAGGCACTAAGATAATCATCTTCAGAAACATCGACAAGGCAACTTTCTCGACATGAGACTGGATACTTACTCCCTTTTCTCCATCGCAACGGTCCTTCTGGAGCTTGATGTGCTCATCAGACTAAGACTGATTTGCCTTCTCCCAGTTAGTTCCCGTCAATTGATCGGCTCGACTTTGGGCTTCCATGCAGCAGGCCCACCACGTCAGACTCACTAAAGACGAGCCAGCCCTGCGGGGAAGTCCAACCTCGTCCTCTTCACCGCAAAAGTACGGCTGGAGTTTCCCAGTTCTTTCTCTTTATGCACCGTTCCTGAATGTCTTCTCGATCTTTCTCGATCCTTTTGTGCGACCGAGCCTTGTCTATCAATTCTTCACTTGTCGATTCATATTTCTTTTTTTAGATCGTCTTCGCGCGACGGGATGTCGCATGCCCCTCGACCGGTTTTTTCCCTGGAGTGACTCAAACGCCGTGTGATTGGCATTCGACCAGTGAGACGCGCATTCCTGGACGCACTCTTAAGCGCCAGACGAGACAACCTTCTACTAGAGTGTTACTGCCTACATAACACCGCCTATTGATCGGCTTCGGATCAATCAATCACCTGAGCGATCGCCAACCCTCCGCTGTGACACACTTCCGAGAGGCCTTCAGAGAGTTAACTTCTCAGCCTCTTATTCCTTCTATTTTGATTTAATCTACGAGGTAACTAGACGATTAGTGGGGAAGAAAGACTGCAAGGGGGGGAAAAGTGGTTCAATCTTCAGAAAGAAAATCACGACGACACTACTTGCCTTTCCACCAATTCCCTCTTCCCCCTCCACCTCACTCGAGCCCATTCATCCCACGTCATGTTTCTACCCATAAGGCTAAATGACCGAGATCGCGACAGGGACCGAGAGCGAAAAGTGTCGTCATCCTCCACCATCTCTTCCAAAACAAAATCCAAACCTCGCTCGTCCCACGGTCGGTCCAACCGCTCCTCAACCAAGGAACACGATCAAGACGCCCCGACGGCCCGCTCCTCGACCCCTACGACTGCCAGCTCCCGCAAACAGCGTCGGTCCTCCATGCCGGGCGTCGACAGTGCCAGCCGTCCTGTCACGGCTTCCTTCCTCGAGTCGAGGACCAGCTTGCCATATCCAACTTTCTCCAAAGCCCATAGTCGAGAATCAGTGACCCAGCCGGACATTCCTACCCCAGACCCGACCGACCTTACCGAAGAAAATAAAGAAGGGGGGAAGCGACATAGTCAACACCGCACTGATACTCATCATGCACCGCCTAGCCCACCGCTGACCAGTGTCGATCAGAATTCACGCAAAGGAAGCACGGTCGGAGACAAGGAAGATAAAGAGAAACCAAAGGAAGGGAAGGCCAAGATTCGGATCAGAGCTGAGTCGACCAGGTCGTCATCGAGTCTGCGCTCGAAAAGGGACGACGAATCTAGAACAAGCAAGACGTTGCGTGCAGACACTCCATCCTCCAAAACGAAACGGTCTAGTCACGACAAGGATGTTCCCGCCCGGACAGCGAGTCGCAACTCTACGAAATCAAGAATTGTCGAAGAAGCCGCACTGCCCAAACGATCCTCTTCCAGTCGTGCTGCTCCGGTAGTGTCTCCCCCTCGATCCCCCGCGACCGTTCGCGATGTCGGTTCGGAATCGGCAAACGGGTCAGATGCGACTATTGCTGCACAACAGCAGTCGTCATCTCGCAAGCCGAAGAGTCCTGAGAAACCACCTTCTCGGACCCAGACACGATCGTCCATGTCACACCGGCCCAGTAGTCGCACGTCGGCCGATTTCGCGTTTGACTATGGTCGACCTCCCACGTCGAACTCGGGCTACGGCACCCCTCCTCCGCCACCTCCTCCGCCCGAGATGCCTGTTACCATCCCTCGAGTTGATTATCTGCTGCAGAACGGTGGTCTTGACCATCGAGTGCCAAAGGCCCTTCTGCTGGCCACTGGTACTCCCGAGCAACCGCCCTACCAACCATTTCAGCCTCAGCTTGCAGCGTCGAAGATCTTTGACCCATTCAGTCGTATACTGGAGGATTATCATAAAGTGATGGCTAAGAATGGTTCGCTGGCAGTTGCGACAGGATATCGATCGGTCGCACGTCGGCTGCTTGACCGACTTGAGGCTGTCTTTGCCCGTGACATCTCGTCAGAATCATGTACTTGCTTGATGTGTGTTCATGAGCAGCTCGAGCCCGAGGAGCATCCGTCAGGGGTCAGCTGGGGTGAGGTGTTGGAGTTGGTGTCTGGTCGCCAAGAGCTACCCAACTGGCCGCCCTTCATGATGTCGCCGTCAGTCAACGATGCGGACCTGTCGGGTGATGAACACATTCCCATGCAGAAGATGGACATCGACATCCCAGAGGAATACCGAGAGCACTTCATGCGACAGTCGCGCAAGACGAAAGTGACCGTAGACAAATGGCTTAGTGAGCAAGTTAGCCAGGCCACCAACGCACCGGATGAGGTGGATGATGAAACCCTCACCTTCGCCATCCTGACACACCTTGGGCCTGAACAGCGTCCGTTATTCCGCGCACTGCTGGGAATTCCGGCCGGCTCTCCTACGCCTCAGCCAGACGGAAAGCGTCCGCCACGACCTTCGGCATTAATATCGTCATCTCTAGCTATACAGCGTCTCTATCGACTACCATCCCTGCCTCGGGACCCAGAGACTGCTATCTACATGTTGAATCACCCGGAACTCCACCACGTACTTGCGACTCTCGCGGCCATTAGTGATGACGAATGGGAAATTCTGATCTCAGGTCGCTTTGATGGATTCCTCCGCAGCGGCGCAGAGGATTCCTTTGCAGGGTCCACGTCGCAACGCTGGAGTAGCAGCCGATCAAACACTCCTTTCACCACCGGTGGCATTTCTCGAGGTCCGACGCCCAGCCAAATGGATCCCAACTCTCGACCAGCCAGTCAGCCGTACGGCAGCGCCGCATCGCCCGCGAACTTTGGAGGCCCCATCGCCTTGGATGAGGAGATGGAAATTGCAGCTTTAGCCGAGATCGAGCGTGACATCTATCTCGGGATGGAAGCTCTCGAGGACGCCTTTGAGGCACTCCATTGCAAAGCTGAGGTCGTCCGTCGAGCTCTTCGAGAGCGTGGTGCCGGCTTGTCTGTGGCCAACCAGCAACGCCGCGGGTCATATGTCGAGCTCGCTTAGGCACGCCAGCATCCGGGCTGGGCACATGGGAAGACAGCACCGAAGATGACGGGTTGGACGATGACCGATCCTTGGCCCCCGATGACTCGGCTAGCAACATCAGTTCCAATCGCAGACGGCGACCCAAGCGCCGCACTGAACGACGGACCCCAGCACCAGTCGAAGAGGAAGACGAAGAACAAGACACATACGACAGCCGACGAGATCGAGGCTCCAAACGGAGATAATCCTGAACCTCCCTCTACTAAAAAACAACCCCCCCATTTTCTATTTTGGTGCTCCCCAATAATCTTGTTACAACCCATTGCATCTTTTTTTTTGTTTTTTTTCCCTTCATTATTAAATACTTCCAGCGTTACGACCTTGATGAGCAATAGTTGAGCCACGAATGCACGAAACGTGATGAAATGAACTGAAGCCCAGCTCATAAGAATCCCTTGATCGATTGAATGACTTACATGTGAAGTCGCAGTACAACCCCTCGGTGTATGTATGTACATTGGTACAGATTGACACGATTTCTAATGCTACTGTATTCTACCTTCCCCTTTCCATCACCAGCGCACATTGGTACTAGCTAGCATCCAGCAAAGATAGAATATCTTCAGAAGAACAACAATAGACCAACCAACCCAACAATCCCAAACATGAGATAAAAACACATCGCACATCCCAATCTAACACCAGGCAATCACCATTAGCACAGTACCAATAGTAAACCCACCACCTACCGAGATAGAAAT